CCACAGGTCTGATGGGAGTGTGGAGTGGTACAATTCTTTCAGAAAGTTATTTAGTAACACGGAGCAGAAATCTGCCTATGAGACGTTAAGGGTTGGCCTCTGGCGTTAGAGGCGTTTGAAGCTCAGCTCGGCCACTAACTAGTTGTGTGACCAAGGGCGGTGACCACCTCTCAGAGTGGCAGCTACTTCTATAAAATAGAGCTAATGATACATCCCCCCGCTCCTGGAGTTCTTGTGAGGATTTAGTGAAACAACATACGGAAAGTGCTCAGTTAATGGTAGTTGTTCTTGCAATAATATAAAACTAGAAAAAACTTGGAGAACAAGGACATTCACTTTGGCATTTTTCACATTTGTGAAAACCTGGAACAATCTACAAATCCCGTAAGAGGAGCGTGGTCAGGCAGACCACACACGTACACACAGTGAGATCTTCCGTGGTCACCACCAATGGAGCTTACAAGGACATGAGGCAAGTCTGTACTGTGGGATATTGCAAGGAAGCTGGCAGCTCTGCAAAATATATCTAGAAAAAAGACTGGACAGGAATCTGCAGAAATGCTAGAACATTGTTGAGCTGAACTAGTGGGATTCAGAATGAACTTGTCTCTTCTCCCTAACTTTCAGCCTGCCTATAAGGGTATTGGGTTATTTTTAAAAACAAACAAAATTCCTGGATAAGAGCATGTTTTTGCATGGATCTGGCCAGGGGGGTGACAGCGCAGTGGCTTATGGGCCCCTGGTGGCTGAATCTGGACCTGGGACTGGGCACGTCTCAGATCCACACTGAGTACAAGCCCTGTCACCATTAGGACTTGGAAGACAGCCCTACCCTTCTGGGTTATTGTGAAGATTAAAGAAGGTGGAGGCTGCTTGTGACTATCTCCCTCCCAACTCTCATGGCAGTGAAAGAGAGAGGCACCTGGGGACCAGTAGGTCACCCACCCCCACCCCCACCTTTGGCCTCTGTCTGCTCGCTGTGTGTGGTCCTGAGGGGCGGGCAGTACTTAGCACAGCACTGCCTTTTAGGGCTTGCTGCCGGCTCTTTCAAAGTCTCACATTCGATGAAATATAGGGAAATTGCCCTATATCTAGCAAGCCGAAGAGAAGATAAGCTAGGGCCTGGCAGCCATGCACGCTCCCACTGAAATAACCAAAGCCCACCTTTAACAGGTGGGGAGCTGTGACCTCACCATGCCTGCTGCAGCCGCCATCGTCCTCACCACTCAGAGTAGCTCATAGTCATAATTAGGTTCTTAACAAAAAGCCTGGATGCTGGAGAAGAAAGGGCCAGGCCCTCCCCACTTTCCAGTCCTGAGACCTTGGGCAAGTTATGGAAAGTGTCTCTCTGAGCCTCAGTTTCCCCATCTGTTAAATGGTAAAGCTACCACCTACCCTTCACAATCTTAAGCGATGTTCAGTAAATGTTACTTCTCTTTCCTTCCCCAGATAGGAACACTCAGGCACCAGGGAACACTGCCTCCTTGGCAGGAAGAGGACTGAACAGCTCTGGTTCCCAACCCCAGGGAACCTTCCCCAGAGAGGAAGGTGGTGTGCCAGGCAAGTCATCTCAGGACACAAAGCTGTCTCCCTGGGCAAAGCCAGGAGAACAATGGGCCCCAATGGACAGCAGAGTGCAACGGAGAGAATGAAACTGAGCAGCATTTGGAGCCCTGGCCATGCCGCTTTCTAATCAGATGACCCTGAAACACTAGTCAATACATTTTCTGAGCCAGCGTTCCTGGTCTGTGGAAGGGACGCCTAAGAGGACCTAGAACACATGAGGTGCTCCACTGTACTCACTGCCACCTGGCTTCTGACCCACAGCCCGAGCCGTCTGATTCCTCCTAAGCCCAGCTCTTACCCCAGGGGATCCTGGGGCACGCCATCAGCCCTGTTCTGAATAATAATGTAAGAAGCTGACACTTCCTGAGGAGAAGCAGTCACTGAATATTATTAGCTCATGTTAACAGAACAACAGAGGGAATGCTTCCCCAGAAGTCTTTGTAATTTGTTCTTCCAATTGCTATCACATGGTTTTGAGGGGCTAGAGGACACCTACCTTCCACTGGGTAAGAAAATCTGACATGGGAAAAATTTCTTTCTGGGAAAATGCAAGTCAAAAGAAGTCGGCACTGGGATTCCCTTTGGGGCCTCCTTTAAAAGTCCTAAGAAGCTCACACCTACTAGGTTTTTGAAGGTATTTGCTGAATGAATGGATGCAAGAATGGATGTGAGCTAGAAAGCAAAAAACGGACCTCAATGGATGGAGTGGCCTTAGAGCTGCTGGCGACGCTACTGGGCCTCGACGAACTCCAGATGCTGAGCTGCTGCAGGAGGCCGTGGAGACTGTCTAATTCTTAATCAGCTCCGTTTTGCTGCCCACAAAGTTAATTACTTAATGTGCTTCTTTGGAAGTGAGAGTTGGGGCAAGAAGTCGGGAGGACTGAATCCTTCCCTCAACTTCAAAGATCCTGTGTCTCTTTCTGCCGCCCAAATCCTCTAAGTTTCCGATGCACTTTGATATTCCCAGTGGAGACAAAGATCTGTGATTCAAGAAAATCCAGGCCAGATTAAAGGGCCAGGCACCGAGTCCGTGTGCCCAACACTGAACCACCAGCAACAAAGGCCCATTAGGATGTGGCTCCTGCCCGCCAGCTTGTCTTCTTGTGTCTCCCGACACAATGCTGACAGATTGGTGGGGCTGGTTTCTTCCTCCCCAAAACAATATTTTATGAGGAGTCTGTTTTATTAAAATATTTTCCGCTGGATGCTTCCTGTGTTTCAAGAAGTTGGTCTTGCCAGCTGGAGCTGATGACAGTTGAGAAAAACACATCCAAGTGCTGTTGTGACATGGCATTTGGAAGTGGAGGAGCACAACAGGGGGTGGGGGTGGGGGGAAGGCAGCATGGGAAGAGACGCAGGAAAACACCCGGGTTGCACCAGAAATGCCACTGGCATTATGGGAGAACAGCTCTGCCGGCCCCCCATGCCCCCCCATCACATTAGAAAAATGTGAACAGAAACTCTCGGAATGATGTTCTAAAACATACCTCCCAATCTCCTGGTGGACCCGGGTCACTGTTACGTACGATCATAGAGAACCTGTCATTTGTTTTCTATCACTGCCAGTTTGCCAACCCACTAAACTAGCCACCGCTGCTCCCACTGGTTCATTTCAACCCAAATGTTTCCCAAAAGGAAATCTAAAACAAGGTGTACCGCAAAAAAAACACCCCCAAACAAAAAAACCCCACAAAAAGTGGTACTGACATAGTTCTGGTAATCTCCAGAATGATGGGGTTGCCAGACACTGGCTCTCTGCATATACTGACCAAGCAATCCCCTATCACCGGGCTGGAAAAGCAACAGTGTAAATAAACGTGGTGAGCAAGTGCGAGCTCTTATCGGGAACCGGCACAAAACGGGTAACGCTTTTCTGCAGAATGGGAAGTGTTGTTGGTCCAGGGTGTTTCTGGTGCAAAGCAAGGATATTCTGGATTTGCATTTCAATATCTACAGGACCATGACCCTGTAATGTCAGTACAGTGTCTAAAATATTTAGTCCAGTTTTAAAGAGATGGCTCTAAAGAAAAGTGACTAAATTCATTCCCCTAAGGAGAAATCTTTGGGGTCTGAGGCACTCTGAAGTCATGCAGCATTTTCTCCACAAGGGGGCAATCATAATCCATGGCAGGGAAATAGTCCTCAAGATTCCCACCGTCCTATTGTGCACAGCAAAAGTTAAACCTACACCCAACTTCTGGAGTCCTACTTCCAAATTCTGCATCACCAAGCATCTCCCAAGACACCACACAGACACACACAGGTTTGAGGGCTGTCTAGGTAGGCTGGTTCTGTAACAACATGATAGTCTCAAGTGATACCATCCTATAAACCAGAGAATCCTGGAAGAGCTGAAGTGGACTGCAACCCGAGCTAGGCCACAGCCCGACATTTGGGAATTATTTCTTCCTTTGGCTCCTGTTCTGGCTAGGACGTGCCGTCTCCCGTCTCCCTTAACTTCCTTCCCTGAGAACTTTTCTGAAAATAAGGCAGACACGAGGAGCATTCCCCTCTTCACCCAAGGGACCTCAGGGTCCCAGGGGCAATTCTTTTTTGGTTCCCCCAACAACCCCAGACCAAGATGGTTTCATGCACTTTTTCAAGGCATCCCTGGAAGCCAGTGTGTAGCTGCTGAGCTGTCTGGGCAGAAACCACCGGCCGTGTGCCCTGGGGACGGAGGCACATTCCTCTGATGGAAGCAGTGCTACCTTCTCCAGCTGGCTATGAAGTCGGGGCCGTGAGCAGCTTTCAGCCTCCCACATTCAGACAGCTCAGCCTCTGGCCACTGCTTGCCCACCTGCCTCGCCATTCCCCTCATCTACCCAATGTCTACCCAGCAAGTGATTCTAAGCTGGGCCCTATGCTTGGTACTGGGCATAAAACCCAGCACCTGTCCCGTGGAGCTCTGGGCCCAAGGGGTGGTAGGAAAGCAAAGTCATAATAAAATAAATGCTAAGGCACAGGTGAGCAAAGGTACTGGTTGGGGAGGGGCAGTGGAAGAGGATAGTCCTGTGTATAAATCTGAGCTCTGGAGACCCGGAGCAGCCCAGGCCTAGGAAGGTGATGGCCCTCATTAAATAGGTTGCCTCCTCGACCAGGTTCCTAACTCTCTTTTTCTGACCAGCTATCTTCAGCATAAGAAAAGGCCTAGAATCTTTTTCTGAGCTTGTTTGAGTACCCCTTGGGTGTCACCACTCAAAACCCAGCCCGGGTGCCCGGCTCCCTGGCCTCTGGGGCCTCCTGCTGGCTGTGACAACTGCCAGCAGAACTGACACTGAAGATCAAGCCGTGTTCCCCGACTGACCTCTTTGTGAAACACCCGCTCGGGGCTCCAGGGAAGCCTTTCAAAGGCCGGGGCTGCCACATGGTCTCCACAAAGAGCTGGCCCCGCTGGGCTCCTGCAGACACAGGGGAGGGGAGAACAGGGTACTCACTGTTCGGGGCTCGAGATGGACGTTCTCCGGCCTTCCACTGCGATGTTGCTCTTCGGTCTCTTAATGACGTGTGGCCGGGGAGGGCGCACCTAGAATGGGCACAGGGGGAAATCCCCAAGAAGGGCTCAGTTGGAAAAGCCATACAGGAACATTCTCAAGATGCAGATAAGTGGCCCTAAAACAAACGCTGAGGAATTTTCACAGCATAGGTTCAAAGGCTCTGCTTATCATGGAGACACGGCCGTTGAATTTGCAGCCGACCCGTGAACTGGAATCCTGTGGCCTACTCAAAGGGTAAAGGCTCTTCTGAAGGGCTGGGTGTCCTCATCTGCAGGTCGGGGGTGGTACCACCTGCCTCCTCTCAGGGCTGCCGCGAGGGTTCAGTGAGACACTGTCTGTGCAGGACCCGGAACAAAGAGGCTCTCATTAATGACGAGTCCCTCTTGCCTTCTCCTGGAACCCGGAAACCAGTTTGGTAGAACAAAAAGGTTTCACTTAGACTTTGTTTTTGGGGTACATATGCCTATTTTGTTCTTTTTACAACTGAATTACAGGAGGCCTATTTTCCTCTCTAAGTGGGAGTGGGAAGAAGCAAATACTAACAGCTTTAGAGCGCCAATAAAAGTCCCTGGGCATCGCTGTGTAGTCCTCCTGAGCAGGGCTCGGCCTGGAAGCCACACAGCCTGTGTGGGCACTGCACTCACCACGCGGACCTAGCTCAAGGGCTGCAGGTGGGCGTACTGACAGTGAAGTGCACAGCTTCCCTGTCCACAACCAGGCTGCAGCGGCAAGGTAGTTTTTTTTCTGACCTCGTGAGGCCTCTGAAAGCCAAGATGAGGGATCATATAAAAAGACACCCCCTTCTCCCACCAGAGCCCGTGATGAGAGTTAGGCTAAGAATTTCTAGGCGTCCTTAGAAGGATACTCATTTGGTCCAGTCAACATTATCTGGCTTTAAATAAGGCACCATCATCTGAACAACACCAGAGAAGGACTGGAGAAAGCGAAGAAAGCCTATCTGTGAATTTTGTTGCCAATAAGAATGAATGAGCAGCCCAGTGCGGGGGCCGCTTTCTCTCTGCAGATGAGGGACCACGGCGGGAAACGCCACGGACGCTGAGCTTAGCAGGCAAGAGAGGGAAGAGGAGCACATACTCGCTCCAATCCCTGCCGCCCTCTTCCCTGAACCCACCCTCCCACCAGCCCCCAACCTAGCACTGGTGGGCGACACAACACAATGGCTTCGGAACACAGATCACAGAAGTTGGCTGTGTAAGAGACACGTCTTTAATAATCTCATCAAGCCCTCACGTCTCCACGTGTCTGACCTAACCAGAGTTTTCCTGTGGAACGGCCAGTCTGATCTCAGCCTGGTCTGGCAAATCAGAGACGTGGTAAGAGCCAAGTGCGTTCCACCAAACTTGCTGTCTGCTCTGGGATTACGGTGAAGATCCAATGAGGTGATGCGGGGAAAGTGCCGGCGCGGGGCCTGGCACACAGTGGGGGCTCAATAAACGCTCACCTTGTTTCTCTGTGACCTTATCAGTAACAAATAGAAGACGGGGTGTAGGTGTCTCCAAATTAGAAGATGGATCTATGGTGGCCTACCCTTGCCTAGCACGGTGCTCACTGCCTGGTTTACAGTGACCCCTCAGCAAGATTTTTAGAAATGGATGTTGCTGCCTGGAACATAAGAAGTGCATAATAATGTTGCTATTATGATAACTGTTATTAGAACAGTGCCTGCCACAAAGCAGACATCCAGTCACCGGCTGCTGAATAAACGAATGGATCCGTCCCCCACTTGTGCGAACGCTGAACTGGTTTCCCAGCCTAGAGCTGGACTCCTCTTGCAGCTGGTAAACAGGATCACCTGGTTTGCACCTGACTTTGCACCACAAAGGCGGGGTGCAGTCAGGGCAGCGCTGCCCTGCCCCGGAGGTCCTGGGGTGGGGCTTTGGGAAGGTTAGACATTAAGGCCCATTCGCCTGTCCTCGCCCACAGCTGCTCCTTGTACAATAGAGGCAGGTTAGGAATGTGAACTTGTGGCTGAAATGGGGGGATTAAGTTTGTGGCAACTTCAACTGAACTTGCAACGTGGTGAAACATGGGGAAAAAGAACAACAGAGCTAATTAGACGAGCTGAGCTGTCAGAGCGCCGCTGAATGGCTCAGCGCCAACAAACAAAAGGAATGGGCTGGCAATCAGCAGGATCGATGGAGAAGACTGCTTCATTAGGGATGATAAACCAGACAGAGCAGGAAGAGGGGGGCGGGAGGGGGAGGGAGGCGGCAAAGCAGGGGAGGGAGAAAGGCACAGCGGACCCAGAGACAGTCACCCGCGTGGCTGCAGACACACCCAGAGTCACACACACATCTGACTGGTGTGGACAAAGCAGACACAAAATAGCAGACACAAAATTATGCTCATGGACAGACAACCACCCAGAGACACGCACAGGCCTCGAGATACCAACATACCCAGTTTCACAAATACACACTCACAGAGGCACACACAGGAGAAGAAGGCACATGCACAAATCTCTCTCTTACACACACACACACACACACACACGGCCGCAGACGTACAGTTAGAGCCGTAACCAGGCACAGACACACACAGACAAAATGGTTTAATTAAGCCCGAATCACAAGACGATACAGACAACTGGCCTGTCATATTTCAGCGATCACATCCGTCTTTCCGGGGTGCTTAGGAAGGGCGGGGGCTGGGGATGAGGGAAGAAACCACATGCACACACAACTACCACCGGCCCCACCAGTGCTAGGATCCCAGCAGCGCTGGGGGAGAAAATGCTAAACAGGGATTTGGAGCTCTGTTCAAGGGGGACTTGAGGGGAAAGTTGGGAAACCAGCCAATTCCCCACTGGATTTAAAACCTGAGAAATCTAAGTCGGCAGGGTTAAATGTGTATTGAATACAAAAGCACCGAGTACATTTGATTTTAATGGTGAGCAAGAAATAATAAATACAGAGCTTATAAAGCGCTTCACATGCAGCCGACCACAGCCTGCCTCTCCCCTGCACGCCCCGGCCCACTCCCCTGAGCCCACCAGACACTGGCGAGGCTTTCTTCTGCTTTTTCCTTTTTATTCTTTTTAAAAAGAAAATCTAAATCCTCTGGTCACATCTGAACTCCAGCCACAGGTGCTAGGCTACAAGGCTCCTTCCAGAAAGGCTGAATGGCTAGCCCCCATGCTCCCACTACCCTGGGCCAATGGCCACACTTCTGCCCAGAATGTCTGCAGCTAAGTGACCCGGCAAAGCCTGGCTATGGGCCAGTGGCTCCTGACATGGGAGCTTGTCAGGCCATCTTCTTCGAGGCCCTTGAGGGGTTCCATAGCCCACGTGCCCCAGGTTCACCCCTCGTGTGCAGTGGTGCCCGCTGGAAATGCCTGCATGAATGCACTCGGAGTGAACAGACCCTGGCGCACCGGGGAACGCGAGGCCGAGAAAGCACAAAACTTCTACAGCTCCCGAATTAGTCCCATAGTGACCCTGCCGGGCAGAAGGTGTTTGGGTTGGCAGAACTGGGGTACGTGTACCCACCTCTTGCCAGGGACCGTGCTAGGTGCTACACATATATGACCTCATACCCCACCAGGTAGGCGTAGCAAGCCATTCTACAGATCATGAAACTAAGGCTCAGAGAAGGCATGCGTCTGGCCTAACGTCACACAGTCAAGAAGCGTCCAAGCTGTGATTCAAACCAGGACAGGCCTCTCTGACTTCCAGGCCCAGGAGAATCAGTTCTGCTAGGTACCTGCCTCTTCAAAGTCTCATAACCCAAGGCAGGTGCAGCCCTGTGTGCCGGGCTGGTCACCTCCTGCACCAGGGCGGTGGCAGAGGCAGTTGCTGCTCAGGCTTTGCTCAGGGCAATATTTGCCTTCCCAAGTCCTCAGTCGCCAACGGATGTGGCTGAATTCCAGCCCCCTCGCCCCCAATCTATACGAGTCCCCACACTGGTGACACAACGTGGAGCCCACAGTAGCTGTCTCTGGTACCTGAGTTCTTCCAAGGGGAGCAATCCTGCCCCGGATCACACTTTCTAAGAGATTCCCTGCCTGTCTTGGATCCTAGGTCTCTCCAAGGACTTCTGAGAGCTACCCTCTGGATGACTCTGGCTTGGGAGAGGCTGCTTGGTGAGGAGTGGGGAGAGGCAGGGCAGAGAGGCAGGCCTGGGCTCAAAGGCCAGCGTGGCCTCTTATCATCTCTGTGGTCTCGGCTGCCATTTGGGGAAACAGCATCTGCCTCCTCCAGGCTGTTGTAAGGACAAAGGAGCACAGTCTAGGCACATAAAAGGTGCTCAGTAAATGTCGATTCCCTTCACCTCTGCATGCCTGCCAGGATCTAACACTGCCATAGAGATTCCACAGGAAGCCCAGCCTGCTGCTGATGAATTTTTTCTCACTTGAAGGCTCTGCCCCAGTCCTTTGTACTCTGTGGAGATGGAGATGAAGGGTCCGGGGAGCTTGGTATGCTGAAAAGACCACGTATTCTAGAGTCTGGTGACCCCTTTGTGTAGTTGAGGGACTTGGGTTAAGTCACTGGGCTTCGGTTTTCTCATCTCTAAAAGAGGTGGAGGCAATGCCTACTTCATAGAGTTACTGTGAGGCTCAGCTGGGTTGATGTGGCCAAGAATGATTTGCCAACTATGAAAATCCTAGGTGAATGATGATTATTAAGAAACTGGGTCATTCCTTAGAAGCTGTAAGATTTAGAAACCTGTTAAGAAGAGTAAGAACTGCTATTGTGTGCCAGGCACTGTGCTAGGTGCTTTACAAATGTCATCTATATCATGCTCACAAAAACCTCCATGAATGAGGGTGTATTAGAGAGAGAGGAGAGAGGCTCAGAGAGCTTCAGGACCTGCCCAGAGTCACACAACTTTGGTCTCAAGCCTGGCTCTGTCTACTCTCCAAAGCCATGTTGCTAATGACTGTACTGAAATTCTCACTAAATCACACAAGCTTTGACCCAGTAGCTGGCTTCCTGTCCCCCAAAGTGCTTTCTTTTTGCTGTTTGTGACTTCCTTCCAATGACAGCGAGCAGAAACATTCCAGCCCCTC